CCCCGCTCTGCTCGCCCGCCCGCCCGCCAGCGCTCCTGCCGCCTGCCATCCCCGCCGCGGGCACCTTCGCAGCCTTGGCCGGATTGTCCCATGCCCAACACGTGGGCCGGCTGGCTCCCGCTCAGCCCCCCGCCCGTGTCCTCATTCTCCATAAGGGGACACGCCTTCCTGCAACTTCTATTCCTTGCTTTCCAGCCAGCAACTTCTGTTCCTTGCTTTCCAGATCCAGCTATTTTTACTTTTTTTTAACAACTAGGACTTTATGAGAACTCGCTGTTTAATCCCTTAAATTCTTGTGAGCCTGGGAAACCTGAGTACTTTGTGGCTACGCTTTTAAGACAAACCGCGAAGGGAGTGGGGTTTGTGTCCTCTTTGGCAACAGCGCCTGTGTGGTTTTGGATGTCGTGTTTCTTTTTGGATCCTCGTAATCTTGAACCTCTCTCTTATCACACAAGCCTCTGTGTTACCTCCTGCCAAGTCAAGTTTAAAGTTCTTTTTTAAAAGTTTTGTTTTTAGATTTATTTATTTTTATTTTATGTGTATGGATGTTTCGACTGCATATATGTGTACATCATATGTGTGCCTGGTGCCTGCAGAGGCCGGAGGATTGGATATCCTGTTCCTGGAGTTAGAGACATTTGTGAACTGCCGTGTAGGTGCTGGGAATCGAACTCAGGTTCTGGAAGTGCAGTCCATGCTCTTAACTGCTGAGCCATCTCTCCAGTTCCTTACAAACTTTAAAGTATTTTTATTTTGTGTTTGTGAATGAGTGTGTATGTGTGTGAGGTTAGAGGTCTATATTCGGCAGCTGGTTTTCTCAGTTCACTGTTTGGTCCCAAAAGCAGTGGCTGTAGTAAAGAGGGCGCTAGTTTGTTCTAGGCCGCTTAGCCCCATAATAATCACACAGAAGCTGTATTGATTAAATCACTGCTTGGCCAATTAGCTCTAGCGTCTTATTGGCTAACTCTTACATCTTAATTTAACCCATTTCTATTAATCTGTGTATTGCCCCATGATGTGGCTTACTGGCTAAAGTTCTGGTGTCTCGGCAGGGCTACATAGCTTCTCTCTGGTTCTGCCCTTCTTTCTCCCAGCATTCACTTTAGTTTTCCCTGCCTAACTAAGTTCTGCCCTGCTACCCAAAGCAGATTTTTAATTCATTAATGGTAATGACAGCATACAGAGGGAAATCCCACATTAAGTAGCTGTCCCCTTGGCCTGACTTTTCTATAAACAGCTGTAGAGGAAGGTTGGCAGAGTGCCAGGGGTGTGGCAGTCTGAGGGTAGGGTTGCACTCTACCCTGCTTAAGCACAGAAAGGATAGAATCTAGGTGACAAGGCAAACATACCCATTGACCACAGCTAGGTGGCAGCACACAGTGTGGAAGGGGTGGGGAGGACTCTTGTGCTGGAGGTCCTGCCTAGGCCTTGCTCCCCCCACTTTTTTTGGCATAAATCCCAGAATCTGGACAGCTGCTATGTTAAAGCAAGAATCAAAGTCTGCAGCACCATCGGCAAGGTGTGTGGCTGCCCTCAGCAGTCTCTCTGGGACTACTGTACACTTTAAAAACGTTACTTACCAGAGTGAGATGAGAACCCATTTCCACTGAGACAAGGGGCTGGTGATCTTTGGCTTCTCTTTAGCATAGTTTAGAAGAGTGGCATGTTTTCTAAAATAATTTGTTTATTTTTATTTTGTGTGCATTGGTATTTTGCCTGCATGTAAGGCTGTGAGAGGGTGTCAAATCTTGGAGTTACAGTCATGAGCTGCCACATGGGTACTAGGAATTGAACCCAAGTCCTCAGGGAGAGCAGCCTGCGCTCTTAACCACTGAGCCATCTCTCCGGAGTGGCATGCTTTTAAGAAGCCAGATACTGACACGGCAGTTTAAAAACCAATGGACGTTTTCAGAGGCGTTTTCCTGAGTATGTTTGTTCTGTTCAACAAGAGAAGTTTATTAGTGAAATAGTGTTAATGTACAGTGCGGGCTTCCAGCTCAGTTTCAATAGTATTAACCGTTTGCTAAAGATCTCTAGTTGATTCCACAATCCATTATGACTAGTCATCATAGGCCGAGGGTCCACAGATGCCAAAGCTGCCCTGAGACAAGGGTGTCAACGCAAGTAGTTGACTTGAAAAACCACATAAAGACATACCTTCTGTGGGCTTGACAGCTAGGAAGTGAGCAGGAAGGGAAGTTGGTCATAAACGTGTTTCCTGGTGATCATTTGTGTGTGTGTGGGTGCATGTGTGCATGTGTGTGTGTGTGTGCATGTGTGTGTATGCACGTGTGTGTGGGCATGTATGTGTGGGTATGTATGTATACAGGTGTGTGTGTGCGCACACGCGTGCGTGTGTGTATATGCGTATGTGTGCATGTGTGTGTGCATATGTGTGTGTATGCATGTGTGTGCACGCACGTGGGTGCGCATGTGTGTGTGTGCGCGTGCGTGCGTGTGTGTGAGTTGTGGTAGCAGCCACAGGGCTGTGGGGATGTTCCCCAGTGAGTGGGAGTCCCACATTAGAGGTGACAGTGAGAACTTAAGCAGGTAAGACAATAAACTCCCTCTGGGGACCGTTACTGCTCAGCCAGAGAAACTGCAATCGGGTTACCCTTTGTGAAGGGGCGCCTAGTCTGTGGTAGGGCTGATCCAGCTGAAAGAGTGAAAATAGGCAGAGACATGGTTATCTCGAGAAAGGAGAAAAGAAAGGAACTGGGTACTTAGAGAGAAGTGTAAGGGTTTCCTTCTAAGTGGGATGTTGTCATCCGTTCGGCCTCGGTTTTGGAGATTTGAAGAACCTGGATGTGGACGCTGGTCTAAGTCATGTGCAACAGAGATGAGTTTTCTTCCTGTCCAACCTGATGCCTTTCGTTTTATTTTCTTGCTCGGGTCAGCGGCTGCCACCTGTGTTGAGGAGGAGTGGGGAGAGTGAACATCTGTGCCCTGTGCCCTGTCTCAGCCTTAGGACTCTCTCCACTGAGAACGAAGTTAACTGTAGGTTCTCCACAGATGGTCTTACTGGTTGAGGAAGTCAGTTTCCAGTTAGATGAACGTTCTTATGAAGTGATGCTGGGTTTTGTCAAATGCATTTTCATGTCTATTGAGATAATAACTAAAAATGTCTCTCATTTTACCAACATGATATATGTTTCACTGATTTATATTTTATTTTTGAATATTGAAACCATATTTGCATTCCTGAAATAAAGCCTACCTCGTCATGATGTGAAAGTCATTTTGTGTGTTCTGGAACATGGTGCGAAAATCTTTCTGTGTAATTCTGGAACTTAGTCATAAGTATTTTTTTGGTCCTTATATCACTATTCATAAGAGATGTTGTTTTCCTCTTATGACTTACTTTGGTTTTGTAGTTATGGTGATAGTGGTACCACACAATGAGGTAGGAAGTGTTTATATACATCTTTCATTTGCAGAAACTTATTTCTGAATAATTAGTAATAAACCTTTGGAAGCCTTCCAAGTGAAACTTTTCTTCTTGGGAGGTTTTTCAATTACTAATTCTTCTTCTTCTTCTTCTTCTTCTTCTTCTTCTTCTTCTTCTTCTTCTTCTTCTTCTTCTTCTTCTTCCTCTTCCTCTTCCTCTTCCTCTTCCTCTTCCTCTTCCTCTTC